GAACAGCACTGAAATCTCCAGCAGCATGGGAGTCATTGTTGTGGTGTAGACCTTATAATCCTTTTTCCTAGATGAAAATAAAAGTAGGAAAAGTTGGCCAGCCAGCTCCCAGAAGAGCTTTGCAACCTGAAGTTCCCAGAATTATTACGGCTGTTATAAACCTATCAGGAATTTCAACACGACACCATATCACAGGCTCTGCTGCTGCTGAAAAAATGAGGTGGAGATGAACTAAGGGCAAGCCTGAGAACCAAAATTCTGGCTATGCCGCCACTTGCTTCAAAGGGGCTTCAGGTGGGGCTTCAGGAAAGCCAAATGTCTTTCTCCAATTTAATTTCCAGTTGTCAGTGTGTCGGCTCAAAGCCGATTTTGAGGCTGACACCAGTAGGGAGATCTGGCCATAAGCACAATGTTTTATGGACCTTTGCTTATTATGTGTAAAAAGAAGACTTCTAGGCTAATGAGTAGGCTTCTATAAATGGAAATTCTTTCGCTCACCTTTGTGTTATGCTTTTTAGAAGGCCCAGTGAAATCTGCCTAATAAGTTAAAAAGAAAAAATGGACAGAAACAACTATTTATCTCACTAAAATACAAGAGGTGCTAGCAGCTCTGTTCCTACAAACCTTGGGTCTATCATTTGTTTTGTGTCCAGTGAAAAATTATTTGGAGAGTCGACTGTATAGGAATGGAAAAAGAGTGATTGTATGTGATGTAAATATGTGCCTCCAAACGCAGCAGCGCCAATTGCCATGGCAACATAAAAGCAAAGCTGGCTAGAACAAAAAAAGAGCAGATGCACAAATGACATTGTGGTGCCACAACTGCATTTAAGCAGCGTTTGGCATGGCTGTGACCCATAATATATCTGTGGTTTCTTCCCCAAACCCCCAAAACTTTAACCTTAGACTGTCTATTATCAACCTCACCCCTTTCCTAAGAGGTCTGTAGGGGGCGTGCATAAGCGCACCTACGTGCCTACCGTCCCTGTCCTATTGTTTCTTTTATTTTTCTTATATGTACCCATTTCATGTATTCATAACTATGTATATACTTATACCTATTATCTTGTAAGTGATTGACAAATCAAAATAAATAAAATAAAATAAATAAAATAAAATATTCCTGAAATAATGTAGGAAGGAGAGTGAAGATCAGTCCTCAATAAAGCACGCCCAAATATCAGCAGGTTCGAAGCCAATTGCAATTGATGAAAACTGATTTGCTAGGAAATGGTTAAACTGACAGTGTAGTGAGGTTAGAAGCCAGAGGGCACTGTGAAAATTTCATCTAATGGAAAATAGATTCCCGTTGGCTGTGGAACTGTGGCTGTGAACCTCTTGATGTTAGTAGCAAACTTGCATTGAGGCGACCTTTTAGTCTAAAACTGTATATTTCTTCTGAGAGGAAATTCTTAGGGAGAAAGGTTGATATTTAGCATTATATATAAGACCTTCTAATACATGCTGCTTGCTGGAAGTGTCCTGTGACTAAATAAGGAAAATAAAGATTTTATCACATTTGCTTTTTACTTTCAATCGCTTATTGTTTACTTCTTTTCTAACTTGCTTGTTGTTGTTTTTTCACCATATATTAAAGACATTTTAACAGGGAGGCTCATGGAGATTGCAGAGACATTCTTTGAAGTAAGAATTACAAGAAGCTATAGGCTCAGCAGGTGGCAGCTTCTAATTGATCTTGACTAATTTGGAAAAAGGGAAATCAGGTGCATTTCATACTTGAATAAGAAAGTGTCAAGTAATCATGGAGGTCCCAGTAGAAGACAGACCACATGTCCATGAAGTCACAAGGAATTAAGTTGATTCAAACCGAATTCATATGCACTTCATTTTTAAAGAATGCATAACTCTCAGAAAAAAAAATAACTTGGGTAGGAAGAGATAAGCTGAAGTGAAAGAATTTATCTGTCTATATACTGTATAGCAGGGCTGTCGAAAACTCGCGGCCCATGGGCTGGATGCATCACGCGCTGGCCATGCTCACATCCAGTTTTAGCAAAGGGGGGGGGGAAGTCCTGATACGTCACGTGATGTTGCTATGATGATGTGAGTTTGATACCCCTGCTGTAAATCAATGTTTGTCAACCTGGGCCACTTGAAGATGTGTGAACTTCAACTCCACCCAGAATCCTCTGGGTGACCAGAGTGGCTGGCTAGGGAATTCTGGGAATCGAAGTCCACACAACTTCAAGTGTAAGAAACTGAACAGAATATCTGCCTGTGTGGGCTGGGTATCACCATGGGCTTGGGAGTATGAGTACGTGTGCTTCACCTGAGATTTAAGTGTAGCTGGGAGAATGGCCAATTGAGATTTCTTTTCTGAAACTTGTGTATTTCCCTGATTAATAACCATTTGCATGTTGTGAAATTATTATTCTGTGGTGTTTTATATGTGTGCATGTGTGTATTTATGGTAGGGGAGAAATATGGAACTCTAGCCTCCTATTACTAACTCGTGAGTAGCAAGGGGAGGGATTCAGGTGGTTATCTGTTTCTCAGGTGGACAGGGAGGTCCTGCAAGCATCAAACCCTTTTTTTTCTTCCTGATTGGTTTTGGCAAAACTGAAACCAGTAAGATGAAGTTGCTAGAGAAAATATAGGCAAACACTTTAAAGATCTTTTGGGTGCTGCTTGGGCTCAGTTTGAGTCCTGTATTACGTCTACTTTGTTTACTTTGTCTGTTTACAGGTTAATAATTTATGCAGCTTGGTATTGCTAAGCTGTTTCCGGAGGTCTTTGCTAGTTTTTGTCTAAATGGAAAAGAAAATCTTTTAGCTTTTATTTCCTTGTGTTAGGTCTGTATTAGCACAATGCAGCTCCAAACTGCCTGGCTTTCTAATGCTGATCAATGGGAAAAGTGTAGCCATTTATTTAAACTTTTACTCACAGTAAAGGAAAATTTCTTTCTTTGCCCCCATCCTGTTTTCAGTAAGGGACCAACTCTCCTCTTAAGAAAAGGTGATGGTAACATAACTGTTCCCAGGTGAAATAGTCAAATCCAGACGCCCAGAAATGCAGGCTATGTATAGTTGGGAATCTCAGAAAAGGCTATAGCAAATAGATCAGGGGTGTCAAACTCACATCGTAATGGCTGCATCACAGGACGTATCAGGACATTTTCCCCTTCACTAAACCAGGTGTTGGCATGGCCAGCACATGTCACATGTGGCCTGTGAGCCAGGAGTTTGACAGCCCTCATATAGATGTAGAAATCATATATCACTCTCCCTCTTTGCCACAAAGCACCTATTGTTCTAACTATCAGTAAATTTCTCCTTAGTTTTAGGTTGCTTCTTTCCTTGATTCCTCTATCCATTATTTCTTGTCCTGCCTTCAAGTGCTTTGGAAAACAGGTTGACCCCCTCTTCTTTGTAGTAGCCCCTTAGATATTGGAACTCTGGTGTCACATCACCCTGGTTCTTCTTTTCATTAAACTAGATATACGCAGTTCCTGCATCTGTTTGCCTTTAGTCTCCTAATCATCTTTGTTGCTCATCTCTGTACTCTTTTTAGAGTCTAGATGTCTTTTTTATATTATGGAGACCAAAACTGGATGCAATATTCCATGCATTGTCTTACCAAGATAATTATAAAGAGGTATTAACATTTTGTATGATCTTGATTCACTGTTCTTCATTGTATTGCACTTCCAATGTCTCTCCTAGTACTACTATTATTAGGAGGGAATGGGTTTTTAAATCAAACACTATGATCTTCTGGGATCATGTCAATCAAATGGAAAAGGTATGCAGCATAGGAGTGCCCCTGCATACCCCAAACCACCTTTTTCTCTTCCAAGCATTCTTGCTATATAATAATTTTCCTTTGGCCCTGAACATATGTAGACATTGGAGGCCTGAAAGCACATTGTTTCCAGCATGGTACCGATGGCCAAACAAACTAAGTTCATGCCTAATGTCATTAATAGGTGTAATCCCAAGGGGAAATGGTTAGGTTAGATCATCTTGGAAATTAAATTTACCCAAGTCTTCATTTATTAGTGAATACATAAATGGAAGGTTTTTGTGAGCTGTTTGATCTTCTTTTTCCCAATCTTCCTAATAGATGGACTGATCTATCTAAAAATAAGGCTGAAAAGTCCATTTGCTATTTTTGAAAAACTCCTCCTGCTTTCTCAAAGTCCTAGAATGCCCTTATATACTTTTCCAAATTGAAGAATTTCATTTTTGAATATTAACTACCTGATGTCCTTCCCTATCACATAAATTCTCTGAATAGTAGAAGAAGAAAAATCAGCATCACTTACAGATCAAATTAAGTGTTTTTGTTTGTCAACTATTGTATTCATAAGTAGTTATCACAAAATATTTCTGGGTCAGAGAGGGTTACTTTCTTGATATACCATGGAAAATACTGTGGACCTTGGTATCTTTATATGCTGTGGAAAGTGCAGAAGAAAAAGGGGCATCTGAGATAACAGCGAGGAACACTTAAATGATCAGTGAATATTTCATCTTAAATTTGCTTTCCTAAATAACAGAGCTGTCCATTTTCATCCATAGCCTATAGGGGAGGGGGAAACTTTTAATTCTAACGTCACTGATTATTATGGTCCTCCTATGTGTGATAAGCTGCAGTTCTCAGAAAAAGGAAAGCCAATTCAAGCTCATTCCTTCTGGGGGGAAATAGCACAACAAAATGCCGAATAGAGCTACAAAGTTGTGTTAAAGATATCCCGAGCTGTATATTTAGTTACATTAGTAAAGAAGGAAATTAAACAACAATATCGCTGTATTTTTAATGTTCTTGATATTTCAGCTCATAGTCTCAATAAAAACATATTCCAAGGGCTGCATGATAGAAGAGCAGCTGCTTATTTAATTTTAAATTTGGATTTTCAGGTTCTTGGAAAGTGAAGCATGGAGGATCTTCATGAAGAAAATGAAGCCTAGAACTTCATACAGGGACACTCAAGGCATTTCTTCCATTGGTTTCTAATGTCATTTCCCCCCTTTTTATAGGTACACAGTCTTGTACAATGGTCATCACCTGGAACCTGACAAGCTTCTTATCCACAATGATCCAGAATCCCAAGAGTCCTGCTTCTAACAAGTGGTCTATGCTGAAAGACACAAGAGATTCATGCATCAGGAACTTAAATGCCAGATTGATATTGTCTACATTACCATAATGCTGTCTTGTATTGGCTTGACATTGGCACCAACAGCTCAAGTGTGCTGAACAATAACCTAGAGCGACATGGAGTGGTACAGAGTTACTGTTGCTTCTGATTGATGCTTGGAAGTCATAATGCTTTGCATGTGATGAACAAACGATAAGCAACATGCTTGATTGTCTTTGTGTTTGTTCTAAGTGATGTGTCATTCACACATCTTTTTCTTGTGTGTTAACAATATACGTCTTTTCCCAGACCTTGAAGTTTGGCCTGAAAGTGCTAAAATGCAATTATATTTCTGCTTTACCAAAAACTGAGAGGTTGCTTCTCAATTATTTTTAATAATGAGCTTTGCCGGTGATGCAGCAACAAAAAGGAAGCATTGTTGTGTGTTGTTTTTCCTAGGCTGTTTGTACATGCCAAAGAACACGAATCACATTCTTGAAGGTGAAACTGATGCAATACCCGTCAAAATGATCTACTGTAAGAAAAGTAGTCAGTTGAGAAGAGTCATTTTTCACCAGTCGGAGCCCATTAGCTTTAATCTCCTGACATTCTCACTAGGATTTTCAACCCCTGATCTTCCTGAATTGAAGAAAAAGTTCTTTGGGGACTTAAACAATTGAGGAAACAAATAGCTCACCTATAACAAGCCAACTAATTGGCATCTTATGGCATGTTTACTTAGGCACATTCAAATCACCTCTGTAGTTAGATAATATATTGGAAAAACAATTGACGTTGTCATTTATTTCTCACCCCAATTTGTCACAAACTGGGACATTCATTCTGGGATGGTGAACAAGGAACATAAAAGCAACTCAGGTGTCTGAGTTGATCAGGATTTACTATGATCAGTGTGCCAAAGAATCAGGGCCATAAGATAAATCAGGAGGAAGCCATTTCCAGGCACAAATGACATAAGCTTCAGCAACTTGCTGAAATAATAATGGCAATAGGAACAGTGACTAATAAAGGGCATGATAGCAAGGAAAAGTTTAGTCTGCAGATTCTGAGTAGAAGGTTAATTGACTGAGCTCCCACAACATTCTACATAGTAATGTGACTTGTGGACCCGTGATTGAGGGTGTAAACCCAGCCATTAAGGTTTGTAAACTGTGTTTTATGGATCAGTATGTTGCGTGAGCTCAGGGTGAAGATCAGCAGCAGAGACTTTAAAGAGCTAAGTAGAAGCCCACCGGCACCCCGAGACACTTGATCCCCTGCCTGGAACAGTGAAGCTGCAGGGTTGCCCCTCTGGACTAACAGATCAACCTATAGCTCCTTTGCTTGACCTGCAGGAGGACATTAGATGCTGGTTGCTGGGAATCTTAAGCTTTCAGATGCCTCGTCCCTTTACTGCTGTTTTTCTCTTCTTGCACTTTGCAGAGCTATTTCTCAACATGACTGTCTGTTTCAAAGGATGAAAGAAGAATGTCACTGTCAACAGTTCTTTCTGCTGTGTCCTGCATGCAGATGTTACTCTCTATATTAAATTTTTCCTTTTTTTCATGTTATATTGGCAGGCATGGCTGAAGGAATCAAGGGATGCTGGAAGGTTGATTTTCATGTTCTTGGAAAGAAACAGATCAAGTATAAATCTGTAGTAGGGCTGTGCAACATTTCAGCATTGATTCCCAAAAGGTGGTTGGGTGACACAGGAGCACAAACGTAGCACCTGTCTGACATTATTGAAAACAGCTGCACGATCCTGCATATCAGCTGCTGTACTTGCACAAACACTGAAATCCTTTTGGAAATTGGGTCTGAACCATTGCATTGTTCTTATTTGTCCCGTCCTTGACTGAAAATCTAACCCAAAGGTGAAAACTGTGTTCAAGAAAGTGGATAGGTACTTTGTTACATTGTGTAATTATGTACAGACATTTTTTAATATACAGGAGATAATTCTGCATTATTTATTATTATTTTTAAAATAAATAACTATTTGCCCATTAAAGGCTTCTAAGTGTACAAGCTAACACCTTGTTAGTTTTTATTTGTGCTTCCTATTTTATTATTCTGTGGTTCTGTGTCAATTACTCAGAGTAAAAAGAAGGTACCTTTTTAAAGGGACAGAGCAAATGCAATTCAAAAACTGTGTTTTTGGTCTGGTCTTGGCAGATAATCTGGTTGCAAGGGGAATTTCAAGTTATTTATGCTGGCCTTCTGTTAGACCAGGGGTCCCCA